TTAAGGTAACCAAGAAATAATTAATTTCTGGCACCATGTTGTTTGAACCATTACCCCCGATACACCTGAGGATTTACCACGTTCAATTGGTGAAAATTTGTTTGAATTTTTAGGCGGTAAGGTTTTTTAAATTTGAAAGAAAAGCGGGCGGTGCTCTCTCCGTCTAACTGCGCCCCACTTCGTACACGCTGCTACTCCCACCCTGACTACGCTGGACTCCACGCAATTGGGGTATTGTATTTCTGATAATGGGTCTAATAGGGTTTTATGGCCCCGGCTCCCGAGGGTCCGACTTTGCCCATGCCTGATCTAGAGTACTGTAATACTGACGGTGTATTACAGGGGGCACTGTTCGTCAAATTAAAAATTTTGAACTTGGAAATTCTATAAGACCGACATAGTAAAGCATTACTACCATATTTGATCACAAGGATGGGACAGAGAAATGTAATTCACAGTCCTATTCTGATTATTCGTTATTTCACAATTCTCGTTTCGATTGCACGATATAACAAATGATGTGAATGGAAATTCATTGATATAATGTTATAAATGTCTTGAAGAACAAGCATTCCACCCAGGGTTGCCAGATGTGGCGCTTTAGCGCCAATTTGGCGCCCTCGCCGAGCATTTTGGTGGTGGGATTGCCCGATCGGCGCTATGGCGCTATTTTGACGCTTTGGGATTTTGATGGGATATTCGGGTAATATTAACGAAAAATTATATCTCTCGCTTTATTTTAAAACGTGTTCACCAATCAGGTGTTCTCACGTTGTCGCCGGTAGACCGATGAGTACACGGCCTGCCGTTCTTTCCGTTCCTCCTACTTTACAATTGTCGAAGAAGACCATTTTGGATGATCGAGAAATGTCGAAACGGAAATATAACAAGGCTTGGGAAAACGAAAAGTGGGCTGAAAGTTGTAACACCCTTTCGTCTTGAATAACTTTCTTGAGCATGAATAGCTCATTTTTGCAATTATTATAGATTCTTTTCGAACAGGCTGGCTGGAGAAAAATGGAGATGGGGTTGCTGAAGACGGATCATATCAAGATGGACACTGTAAACTCTGTCGAATAATAGTGCGCAGTCATTCATCAGACTTGAAGAGACATGGCAGATCCAAGAGTCAGACTGACAAAATGTCATTTATACGTTGTAACGTGATATTTTCGTGTGGGGGTTGAAAATACCAGTTACCTTTGCCCTACTTCCCCTAAGCCTAATAAAACCTGCTAAAATTTGAATCAAATGGGCGCCAGGTAATTTTTTGTAATCATCCACTAGCACTTAACGAAAATCTCGCCTCAACGCCCAAGTTAACAATCGTTAAATATTACTATTCGCAGCCCCTCATAGTTATCATTGAATTTTGCCTACACGGATTATCGATCGGCCATAATGCGAGGAATGTCTTCTGCATAACGCTAATCGGCCGGGAAATCGATGATTTCCGGAATTTGCCCGGGGGGCATCCGGAGAAAAAGAAAAAGTAGATCCAATTCACCGGGAAACGGCAACATCGAATGCCGAAGGCCCAATAATGCGATACAAAAATCCCAAAGAGTTGTACAAATTATACCCCATTGATGAATTCCACCTCGAGGATTATCGATCGACGATAATCCGAGGAATATCCGATAACTCGGAAGGACTAAAGAATAATAAAAAGAAAAAAAAAAACAAAAAAAACGTTAACACCTCGGACTCGAACCCACCATCCTCAGAACTGAAGAGAGTGTGAGAGAGAGAGAGAACCACTGGCCATCGCTGGCCGTGGAGAATTCGTTCACCTAAGATTGCTCCTAAAACTTACAATTTCGAGAAATTTTTGAGAAAATGCCCACTGGCGTGGCCAGGGGAGCCCCTAGTATTTTGGGGAATCATTAGCGAGGGATTAACTCGCTCGAAAACCATCCAAAAAAATGGATGAAAAACATCAGCCGAAGCTGGGGGCCAGCTCGGAGAAAGCCACGACAAATCGTGGAAATAACCACAATAAAATCGTGGAAAAGGCACTCAAAAGACACTAATTACTAATGCCCAACTCACCTTCGGGGGTTTCCTCCCCTTCCTAGTGGTCTTCCTGACCATAAGCCTCCTTAATGAACTTCACGTAATCCTCGATTGCTTCAACAGCACGTGTACACGACTCGTCACGGTTAATGTATAACTGATATGGCGAGGTCAGTCTAACAGGTGGGTCACGCTCAGCTGAAAATCAGGCGCTCCCTGATTGGCTGGCGTTAGTTGCTAGTTGTGGCGCGGTGCCTCTAGCGACACTTCAAATTTAAATTTATAACCGATATAATCCTAACATATTTTCATTCATTTAACGGGGTATCGGGGCCGTTTTAATCACTTTTCCTGGGGAGCATGAGTAGTAAAAAAAATCTTTCTTGCTTTAACCATAAACTTAAAACTTAGTATTTCCTACTAATCTCCAATATTTATTAAAATTTCATTTTATCGCTAACCCGTAAGCAACCTAGCGATCCGGAGCGAATAAGGGTTGCACTCATTCCCCACGGCCTTCCACCAAAAACAGAAACGTAAACGTAAACGTAATCCTAATCTAATGCCTCCTCTGATTGGGAACGTCAAATTCCTTTTGAACTCGGAATGTTTATTTAAATGACAGGATGGCTCTAATTTTGGCCCCTCTTCACGGCATTTTAGGCCCTCAACCCTAGCCCTAGATCCTAAATTTTTTGACTCTAACTAAATCAGTGGCTCGGTGCCCCTGGGCGCGATTATCCCCCAAATTTTTGTGCATAGTAGTGGAGGGTTTCGGCTTCCCTAACGGACATCCCCACATGCCCGTTACAACGTCCACCAGCCAAGAGCAAAATGTCGAAGTATGGTACAGAGAGTTTTCTCGTTTTTTTTTTTGCATTTCGATCCGTTTTATTGACTGTTTTGGTTTCCGAATGAAATCATCGTAAATGGTGGATATTTCGATTTTCTAATTTTTTTCCCTCTGCATTTAATCAGCAAGTCAGCGAGGCATTAAAAATTGCTGCCATCAAGGTTTCTGCACATTTCGCGGTACATTCAGCTATCAGAACAGTGGATCATTTGGTTGATGTTGTCAAGCCCCTTGGCAAGGGTAGTATCATTGAAGACCTGAAATTACATCATACAAAATGTTCAAGTATCATCAAGAATGTAATCGCAATGTTGACAGAATTGGTTGCAGCAATTGGAAATGGCGCATACTCCTTGATCGTTGACGAGTCAACTGATGTTTCAACAACCAAATACATGTGTCTCTGTATCAAATATTTTAATACAACACATGAGAAACTGGTGACAGATTTCTTGGGGTTATTTCTCGTGGAAGATGCTACAGCTCAGTGCCTCTACCAGAGTGTTTGTGAATACTTGGAGACCATCAAGCTTCCGAAGAAGAACATGGTAGTTACAGGGACATACGCAGCGAGTAATTTATGTGGACGTCAAAAATCCCTTTACGCATTGCTGAAGAAAGACATTCCTTATCTGCAATTACAGAAATGTTCCTGCCATTCAATTCACCTATGTTGTTGCAAATCATCAGAAGAGCTACCTTCTTCATTGGAATACATAGTCAGGGAAGTTTATAATTGGTTCAAACTGAGTCCACTTCGTCGTGCGAAATACAAAAGATTGTTTGATACCATTAATACAGGCGTGGAAAGCAATCACTACCGTCAATTGATTCAGTTCGCTCAAACCTGCTGGTTAGCATTCCACGATGCATGTAAGATAATGTTGGAACAGTGGTTAGAGTTGCAGACTCATTTCAGAGTCGTCAGCCACTTAGAGAAATGCTATGATACTCGAACGATTCACACCATGCTCGTCGATGATTCCCACCGACTCTATTTGCTATTTTTAAAACACGTCCTCGGCCAAATGCAGAGTCTGAACTTGACCTTGCAAAGTGATAAGATTGATGCTGGAAGTGCATATGACGAATTGTATACAACGTTCTTATCCTTTGCTAGCAAGATACTCAAGCCGAGTTTCCTAGTTGTCCATCGAAATGGAGAGAATCTTCTGCATCAAGTTTGCGATGACCTGGATAATGAGTTGGCTTTTTTGCCACTGGAATCAGTGGATTTTGGACTAGTTCTGACGACAGAACTAATGAAGATGAAATTGAGTTCTGACAAGGTACGAGAAATGAAACAACGCTGCTTTGGTTTCTTAAAACGATTACTAGTAGAGATGTCCAAACGATTGCCAGTGAGCATGGAAATCTTCAAGAAGCTACTCAGTCCATTGAAATGCCTTGGTCCTGAACATGTGAAATTTCCCGTCATCGCTGAAGTTTTAGAATCTTTCCTTGATCCAGCGATAGATATAGCTGTCTACGAGTCACAGTGGGAAAAGTTGCTTTTCATTGACTGGAAAATTCATTGTTCTAACCGTCTCCCAGTTAGTATCATTGATTTCTGGCCTATGGTATTTGCTTTGGTAGATAGTGCTGGGAGATTCTCTTTTAGAGAGTTAGCCGAAACTGTTCTGCATATGCTATGTGCCCCAACGAGTAATGCATGCGTCAAACGAGTCTTGTCGGCCATGAATCTAATCAAGTCTAGAGTACGCAATAAGACGGGAATGAGCATGTTGGAGGCTCTTCTGAGGATCAAAGTCCAGTTCAATGTCACGGGTCAATGCTGTACGACATCTGCACCCAGTGAACAGATATTAAGGATATTTAAATCCGGTAACATGTATGGAAGCAAGGACGATGATGATGTCGAGGCAGCCATCGGAGAAAATCATGACATTTTCGAGATGATGGACGATGTCTAATGAAGCCCGCTGAGACGATCTATTCTCTATTTCCTATTCAATTTCTTATGATTGATAACATGTTATACTGTTATATTCCATATTCTATAAGAATTTCACTTAATTTTGCTGAGAATTATAGATTACTCGTGTTATTCTATACCTTTTAATAAAGAAACGCAATGTTCTATAAAATTTTAAATAATGTGCCATTGGCGCGTTAATGGCGCTTTTCGAAATTCGTTTGGCGCTCTCAGGCGCCCCCACCTCATCCACCTGGCGACTTCCCCTCCTCAGTATCTGGCAACTCTGATTCCACCTGTAACATAAAATATATGAATTTGTGGGGAAAGCTCCAGGTATATTATCAACAGAATCTCATTCTGTCCACAGACTTTTTTTCTCACAGTATGAGGACAAAATTATTGATGAAAAGATTGGAATGATTTTTCAATTGATATGAGAATATTTCATCTGTAACACTTTTCCCCGAAGTCGTCCCGGAGGTCGACGATAATTATTACCTTCGCCCGTTCCCGTGCTCGCATCCTAAAATCCAACCGAATTACTGCGAGCGCCAGCTAGCTCGTTATCGGCCAAAAGCTAACGAAAAACAAAGAACCACAGCGAGGGTAGGGAGGTGGGGTGCCCTGCCTCACCCGAGGTCCGTAAACCTCACAAATCCAGAAAAGTATCCGAGATCCAAAAGAAAAGCATGAAAGGACAGGACGAGTGGGGCTGGAACTCGTCTTCGCGACAACACAAAATTCTAAATCCGTAAAACCATAAATTACACCAACCGGGGTGTGATCGTAAAACTACCCGCGAGCGGCTAAAGCCGATGATGAAGGGAATGGAAGCAGGATGGCCTGGGGTTGCTCAGGATGCAAGGTCGTGGAGAGAGGACCGGGCTCGGATACGCGAGTCTAATAACCGAAACCTAAACCATAAAATAAAGAGAACAGACGGCGGTTGGGAATACTGAGAGCATACTTGCGGGAATGCAAGGCATGAAGGGCGATCTCTAGGAATACCTAGCCAAGAGCGCGACGTGAGACAGCGGAGTGCCGGTAGGCCGAGAGTGTAAGCATTATTTCACCCGATTGCACACTATCGAGAGCGTGACGGATCTACTAAGGTAGTCCCAAAATTAGAAAGCATATCCAGGCCGAGTCAACCTCTCACCCAGCAAACGGGGGGAGTATTGCTCCCACCCGGAGATCGTCACGAGGGAGAGCGTAGCCCTCACCGAGAGAACATGAAGACCAATGCGGGGCATTCGGATCCTACCGAGGGCTCGAGAGAGAGAGCTGCCAGTGGTCCGCACTGGGAGCCAGCCGAAGCGACTCTGTCGAGTGAGTGGGTAGTCTGGGCAGTATTGCCGGTGCCTGCCACTCTGAACTACGGGTCGATGGGCTGCCGTGTCCCGGGACGTGCTGCCCTCGCCAAAGGGAGGATATCCCTGACACTTGCCTCTCCTGGAGGGCGCCGAATTCGAACGTCGCCACTGACCCCTTCGAACAACCCCTTCGAAGGCTCAGCCGTTCGAATGCCTACCCCATTTAACATGGAGCGCTCATACTCCAGTATGAGTCCTACGCTATGTGCCAGGAAGTCTCATAGAGGAGTTGGGAATGTTTCCACGTATCCACCCTGTGGTGTTGCCTGTCTCCAAGCCTCCTACCACTCTAAGCACTCGGGCCCCAGTCCTCACACCCTTTCGACCATTCGAGAAATTCCCAGGGATGGTCGAGATGGCAGATAAAGAGAACCAAAATATCCCAAAGTTGGTTTAATCTGCGGGATTCGTGAAAACTCCGTTACACATTAGTTAAGTTAAGTTTAGTTTGTGTTGCGGATGGCGGGCAAGCCTCCCTTTTGCCACCGAACTCCGTTGTGAGTTATTGTAGCTCCGCTTATTCTTAGGTTGCAGATTAAATCTCTAGCCCGGCCTTTATAGCCAGTCTTGAGAAGTCCGAACCTTTTTTTTCCCTGATCTGATCACTAGTGGGGAAGGCAATTCCCCAGCATTGCAATCTCGTCACGGCTAATGCTGGGCAGTCACACATGATGTGCAGGCGGTCCTCTGGTTCCTCTTTGCAAAATCTACACAGGGCATCTTCGCTGATGCCTATGGTTTTGCAATGGGCTTTAAATCTCCCATGTCCTGTGAGTAACCTGATCACTGTGCTCAGGTCTTTCTTGTCCATGTTGAGAAGCTGTTTGGCTCTCGTGCTGCTTGGGCCAAGCATAGCTGCCCTGGCTTTCCTGCAGCCCTCTATGTTTTTCCAACGGTTAGTGTGTTCCCGCTGAATCTTGTTTTTAATGGCTTTTTGGCCCACGGCTGAGGGGACACCAACTGGTTGCGCTACGGTTTCACATAGTGACCCTTGCTTCGCCAGTCTGTCCGCTTCGTCGTTGCCGTGGATGCCTTCGTGTGCTGGGACCCATGTCAAGGTTATCTTGTTGTGTTTTCCCAGCCTTTCTAGCTCCTCCATGGTTTCCCAGATTAGTTTTGAGTTTGTGTTAGGTTTTAGGAGTGCTTTGATGGCGGCCTGACTGTCTGACCAAATATATATATACTTGTTCATCGTCTGCCGATTTGCCAGAACTTCAGCGCACTTTTTGATGGCCAAGACTTCTGCTTGGAATACTGAGGCGTCGGTCCCCAGGGACCAGCTATCCTCATAGTGCTCCATCGGTTCATATAGTCCCGCTCCATAGCGGTCCTTTTGTCCTGAACCGTCCGTGTACCAGTGCATAACACGCTTGCCTGGTGTTCTCTTGACTGTTTTCCAGTGTTCTCTATCAGGTATATAGTACTTATAGGAATTCCTGATTTGATATTTCTTGGTGGTTCTGTCCTGAACTTTGTTCAGGGGGTTTTTTTTCAGGATACTTAACTCCGTATGTGCTGCCCTGGCTGGGTTCTATTACCCTTGACATACTAGCCTGTATCCTGTTGATTCTGCTTTCCCCACTAGCAGCAGGTCTAGCGGCGGCAGATCGAGGGCCGCCTCTAGTGTGTCTGTGGGTGTAGTTTTCATGGCCCCGGTTGCTTCTCTCAAGAAATTTCCTTGGAGAGCTTTTAGCCGGTTCCTTACTTCCGCTCTTTTCGCCCCGGGCCACCAGACTACCGCCGCGTACATGAGTCGTGGCAAAAGCACCATTTCATATAGCCATATGCTGATTTTGGGGCTGAAGCCTCAATCTCTGCCCATGGCTCTTTTGCATGCCCACGGAGAAGCATAAGTTTTGCTCAACTGTGTTTTGATGTGCTCCTTCTAATGGAGTTTCTGGTCCAGTTGAACTCCTAAGTATCTCACTGAGGTGGCGTATGCAATTTCTGCTCCACCTAACCTCAGTGGTCTAGGGGTTACCACTTTGTTTTTCCTGGTCAATATTATTGCGGACGTCTTTTCAGGGTTAACTGTCCGTTCCGTTTCGCAACTCCATTCTTACAGCGTCCTTAGGGAAAAGCTTAGCCTATCCCTCAGCGTGTTTAGGAACTTGCCTCTCGCGATGATGGCCACGTCATCGGCGTAGCCATGTACTAAGAGGCCTTGTTCCTTTAGTTTTTCTAGAATTTCATCCACTACTATACACCACAGAAGTGGAGACAAAACCCCACACTGTGGACATCCTCCTACTGGGCGTCCTTCTATTTTCACTCCGTTGTGAGCTGCCATCAGTGTCCTGCTCATCAACATGCTTCGTATCCTGTCTGTGATGGTCTGTGGATAGCCCCTCTTTGACATGGCTTTCATAATAATTTCGTATTTGGTGCGATCGAACGCCCCTTCGATATCAAGAAATATTCCCATTGCATAGCGCTTTCGCTGTATTTCCTCTTCAACTTTTGCCACCAGATGATGCAGTGTGGTCTCTGTAGACCTTCTCTCTCTATAGGCGTATTGACATGAGGACAGCGGCCGGTCTATTAGCAGTGAGCTTTTTATATATCTGTCCATCAGTCGTTCCAGTGTTTTAAGGACGAAGGAGGTTAGACTGATGGGTCGGGAATCTCTTGGCCTGACGTGGCCATTTTTTCCAGGCTTGGGTAAGAACATGATTTTGGATTCCCCCCACACCTGCGGTATGGTTCTTAGGGCCACACTGGCTCTGAGAATTTTTGTGAGTGGACCCAAGATGGTATTGATTCCCTTCTGCAGAAGCACCGGGTAAATCCCATCTGGTCCTGGTGCCTTTAGGGGTTCGAAAGAGTTGATTGCCCATTCCACCCGTTGTGGATACACGACTTTGGCTGCTAGAGCCCAGTCTTTGGGTTTGTATTGCCATCCCGGCGTGTCAGGTGGTTGTTCTTCTACTCCCTGCCTCCTGAAGCCGGGGAAGTGTTCATTCAGCAGTAGTTCTCTTCCGAGGTCCAGGTGTAGCTGCCATCCGGTCTGATCAAACAGCCCAGGTTGGCCCCCTGCCCTCCCAAGACCTTTACCAGCCTTGATGCCTCGGAGAGACTCCCTATGCCACTGCTGCACTTCTTCCAACCGTCGGATCTGGCTTTTGTCGGAGCTTTGTTGTACTTTCTCTGGAGATTCTTGCGTTCTTCCAGCGCCTTACTCTTGTGTATATTATCGCAAGAGTTCTTTACCTTATTCCACGCCTTCCTCAGCTGGTTCCGTAGGCTCGCTGTGTGTTATTCCACCATCAAACTTGTTTGGTTCCCGTCTGGGTGCGTGGGACACAGTTGTTTTCAAAGGAACGTCTCACCGCCTCTCCGAAACTTTCGGCCGCGTTCTCTAGTTGCTTTTTATTCTTGAATTTTCCAGGTTCGTCCTGGATTCTCAAGGAGAGCTCCTCCCTGTAACCCTTCCAGTCTGTGTTCTTTGGATTCCTCCGTTGAATTATGTCCGTCCTTCCAGTCAGGCTTAGGCGAATTTGACTGTGGTCTGATCCCGAGGGCTCTTTAGAGACCCTCCAGTCTCTTACCACGTCCACCATACCCGTTGTGCAGATGGTTACATCCAGCACTTCATGTCTTCTGCAGTCCATGAAGGTTGGTTCGGTTCCCCTGTTTAAAAGCATGCGGTCTTTTTCCATAATGAAGTTGTGTAGGGCTTCTCCTCTTGCATTGGTATTGGAGCTCCCGCATCCAACATGATGGGAGTTAGCATCGCAGCCCAGCAGGTGTTCTAGCCCGTACTCGTTCATTTTACTGATTAGTTCCTCCACTTCCAGTGTCGGTGATGGCTCTATGAAGTCGTAGGGCAAGTAGGCTCATCCCACTATGCACGCCGAGCTCCTGTCTCGTATTTGGGTTTTTATTTTGGCTACTGCCAGGTCCCCATTACTGAGTTGTGGTAGGAAAGTAGCCTCCATACCTTCAATCAGGAGGCAGGCTCTTATCCTGTTTTCCTTAGGGTTTGCGCAGAGTACCTTTCCACAGCCCCTAGGCCTTTCACCTTCCCATCCACTAGCCATGGTTCTTGGATGAGAGCTATAGCTGTTTGCATCTTTGCTAGCGTCCTACAGAGTATAGCTGAGGCGTTCCTGCTGTGATGCAAATTAATTTGAACTATTTCGTTTGTCTTGTGAGTCATCTAGAGGCTCATTTGACTTGGTCGGTAGTTTTATCTTCCTCCATGCGGTTCTTCTCGAGCAGCTTAATGGTTGCCCTTTAAGCCCCGCAGTAAGGTCTGAAGTTGCAGTTTTTTAGTCCCTGCAGCGACTTGTCTCCGATCAGTGCAGCGAAGTGGGTGCTCGAAGCTCCTTTACTTACGCTGCCCATCACGACGACCCAGCCATCGGGGTTCAGTCCCTCGTTTTGCTTTCCCATGAGCTTGATAGCTTCTTGGGCCGAGACTTCTTCATCCTCTACCTGCACTATTACTCGGTGGCGTTTTGGCAGTTCTTCTGGCGCCAGCACACGTAGGGTTTGCTCTCTTATTTTATTCTCGGGGAATAGGCTCTTCAGCCAGATCCCCGACTCTTCGTCGGTGCAGCCCACTATGGCCGCCCGTCTCTTTCCCAGATGCCCTCGAAAACCGGTGCCTTTGTCCCCTCCTGCAGGGAGAGGATTTGGGACCTAAACAGTCCCGTCAGGCCCTTGATTACTTCTTGGGTGATTTTTTGATCTGGGTAGTGCTCTGGAATGAGCGCCCATCTGATCATTTGTTTAGTGGCCTACGAGTAGGTAGCCTTGTCTGTCTTAGGCTTTTTCGCAGGTCTCACTGTTTGAGGGCTTGGGGTGTTGTGTTCCGGCGCCGATCTTTTCATGGCCTCCAACTTCCCACAGTCCTTATCGCCACTCGTTTGCGAGGGAGTTCCCTGGGCTTGTGCCGCCCTGAGGGCCTCCCTTTCTTTTTTGAAGCGTCGCCTTGCGGCGCCGCTGTGTTTGATATTGTTCTTCGAGAGTCCAGACATCTTTAGGTTTTCCATCTGGTTCATGCTGGCTCCAGATGGAGTTTGTGTGTTCTGGTTCTTTTCCATAAAAGTCCCACGAGTACCGCTGTTATACGTTGTCACCCGGGCAGAGCTGCGAATGCCCGGGGTTTGGCTACTTACACTCGGAGATCGCCTGGTATCCGAGGGCACCGTTTATAACGCGACTCCCCTCGCGTGACGCAGCCTTCGGCACGGTGTGGAGACGCCGTGCCAGCGAATCATGACCACTGGCACGACGCCCCCGCGCATGATACCTGTGGCTTGGGAAGCTGGTCCGCGACGAGGCTTTAGGCTCTCCGCTTGGTTTCCCATTGGGAAAGCACTATAACCATTGCAAACCACTTTTTTGCCCCATCTCCCGTGGGGCTCCAGGTGTCTCCACCTGGTTCCCCACCGAAGACGGGTTAATCCGAGTGGCCACCTCCTATCCGCCACCCGGAGACGCGCTCGGTCGGTTGCTCAACCGCGCTTTCCGCACCCCAGTCAAGGGGTTTAGCGAGACCCGAACCGTTACACATTGCATGATGTAAATTTTCTTTGTTAACGTAAATTGGAGTTTTGCTGCTCAATTTAAGTGAAGAAACGAGAAATGGATTTCAGAATCTTCCTGATTATCTAGGATGATAAAAAATTATTATGAACTATTATTTTTAAATTGTTATAAACTATAAGGATGAAAAGGCGAAATAGAATGATTGCCTGCAATTTCTTCATCAGTATTATTTTAAAATATCATTATTATTTAGCAAAAGTTGTAAAATCCACGCGATACGTCTCCGAATCTTTTTCGGCAGCTTTTGTCGAAGTCTGTGCTATTTTTCATCATATTGAACACAGAAAGAACACGAGACTAGCTCTATAAGTATAAACAAGTATCACACCTAGAATTCAAACGATACATAACAAAAATATAAAGAAATATTAAAATATATGAGAGGCCTCTTTCCAAGCTCCACTCTTCGTCTGAAACAGCCCCAAGAAATACGACTTTATTCAGATGCTCGCCAATATGTCGACTTCTGTCTAATTTCTTAGTGTGACCAGCCTCTGAAAAGATCCTTTCTAATGGCACAGACGTACTGATGATACTAACGTATCGAACGGCCAATTCGTCCATTGTAATGAATGCTGAAATGAGTTCCATCGTATAGGAAGAGCAAGCAGGAATTTGAGCGTAGTTCCTTCAGTTTTCCCATCGGCAACTTGTAATTGTTTCTATTCATCGCGCGCTCCAACACTTCTAATAATTTTCATAATTTCTCGAGCAATATTGATCATTTCAGTGAGTTCTGTTATCTCATTCAATGTTTTAAGTACCACATATAATATAAAATGTGCGAAACACCAGAATCACCTCTCTGCGCCGACCAAACTCTCTGTTCCAGCTTGGTCCAGTCCATCTCACATGTCAGAATGTAAAATACAGTCTTCGTTAGATTTGAGCTGTGGGATTCTTTCATATTGGTATGTCGAGTCGTCACTAACTTGGTTACAGTCTTTCGAGACGGTGAAGTCTAGTGAGGAGCAATAACTTTCATCAAATTGTGGAAACCTTTCTTGTTAACTATATTCAGAGGCTCTTTATGTTTAGAAATCATCTATATCAACGTATTCGCTTTAGCGAAAGAATTCATCTTCTCAAAGGCTTTATCAATTCGCGGCAATCTATGCTTTGACATAAATTTCTTGCTCTTTACTTGTGGTTCATCACCATTTGTCGATTCACCGCTGGACTCCGCCCCAGTATTCCTCCTTTTTCTAGTTCCTACACATAGCAATCGATGCTTTCGGTCCAAATGGGCCTGTAAATAGGATGTTCCTACATAATGCATTTCACGTATGTGGCAAATGGTGCAGGAGGCGTGTGTAGCATACTTATTTTCAAAATAAACACACGGAACTTTTCTGCTTTGTCCTCGATGAATTTTCTACAAGCGATAAGTTTTTGTTCATTGCAGAATCTTCACCGGAGCAGTTGACACAGCTTCGTTAGTATTTTTCCTATTATTTTTTTAGGGGAATTTTCCGGGGTGATTACCACCACATCTGAAGATTGAAGATGCAGTAAAGTGTCACTGAGTACGTGTCAGAATAACTGTCGTGATGATGTAAAGGTCCAGATAGCCTTGGTATTGGTCTTTCGACTGGTGTAAACTCAACTTCATCACTTGATCGATACAAACAATCAATAGTTTTTCTGGTTGGGTTCCACATTACCCTATCCGGAACATAGATCAATTGAGTAACGTCCCACGTCGACTTATCATCACCTGTATTATTTTCATTTCAAATACTAAACCGTCACTTTGAAAAAACACTTCACTCATAGAAGTTTGACTGCAGCAGAAAAATGATTCACATGAATCCAATAAAAAGTTCAATTGAACATTACCAAATAGCATACTTTCTGAGGTAAATCAAAATTATTGGAAGAATTATTTCTTGTGAGACCTTCGGTATTATTATTACCTTAAATTGTCATTTTATCCAACGAAATTCTTCATTTTTAATTAATGAACATTTCTCTTATTAAAGGAATTTGTTATTTGAATTGGCAATGAATAAATTTATTGATTTGAAAATTAACTAATTCGTCGAAATCAGAAAGAAATTGTAAATGAGAATTCGTACTTGACTCAAATCACCTATGTTCCTGGGTTTACAAATTGAGCGAAAAACTACTCACAGTTGAATTGGAGATATTTTCATTTTGATAGTCCAGTTTTGGCGAAGAAAGGCTCGTCATTGATATCCAAATAAATTGTGTATATCTCGGAATCCATAAAATAGAAAAATGATGTGGTTAAGCTCAATCTGTGAGAAATGATCTCATTAAAACATATTGAGCACTTTCAGAAAAAAATCAAAACAAATTCAAGATTTAGGTTAGGATTTTGTAAATACTCCATGCTTAATGAACGAAACTAGCATACCTTCAGTGTCATCTATTTTGTTTCTTTTCGTTCGAATTCAAGTTTTCAATTTTGAGTGTTATAACCCATCATGCTCTCAAAAGTCCGAATGTACAATTTTTACGTCGTGTCCGCGAGAGCGTGCATCTCTGTGTGTGTATGTAACAAACGTTTTTCTCGATTGTACGCTAGGTGATTGATGGAACTTAATAATTTTTTTCTCTCAAATATAGGTAGTTTTGAGCTCTATTTACAGTTGTAAATTAAATTTCAATTAACCCCCAAATTTTGTTAATTTTAATTTTTTTTCTAAAATTGGTATTGTCACGATAACTTAAAAAAAATGTTTAAATTCGTTAAATAACGGTTCAAAATAATCGTTGCAGCCTCCCACTGACCGAACTCGAAGATGAAGTTGATAGCAATAATCGCCAGCTCAATTTTTTTAATTAATGAAAAAAAAACGAAAAAATCAACATCAGACCATTGTAACTATTCATGTATATTTGGTTTTGTACGGACTCAACCAGGAATTTGAATGCTCATTCCAACGCTATTAAGTCAGAGTTGAAGTATAATTACGATAACCAGCTCGATAAATTTCATTTTTATAATAATATTCGGAAATTGTAGAATTTTCGTCAATTTTCCCTCAAATTTCAATATTGATGATTTCTTCCATTATATTGTTTTCAATTCATCTCGTTATGTGTAAATAAATGTTTTTCAATAGAATATAACGAAAATTTCAAAGTAAATGTAGAATATTATGTTTTCGTTGGTTTTTTCTCAAATTAAGGCTGTAAGTTGCGAAAGGTTGAACCGAAAACTGTCAATCACGAATAATTAATAAATGGATAACTTCAGTCATATAATTCACTTCTTTTGATGATGAAATTAGAAGCATGAAAAAAAAAGACAATTATGGAGTAACGGACTACTTGAGTACAAAATAACGAAAAATGGAATCATCTCCATTAAAAAATTCTCATCAAAGATTATATGCAATATTCACCTTCACATCCATGATCAATCATCCTGTTATTGAAAATCAATCTTTTGGTGTATGTTTAACGAAATATGGTCGTTCTTAGCAGGCGAGTGTGACAACATGGTTCTGCAAATGGCTGAACAAAATTTCCGCGCATTTTTAAAAATAAAATCATCCGATCGTATCACATATACCATGAAAACTGATAATTCAATAACAATGAATTTAGAAAATTGGAAAATGTTTCAAAAAATAATCTCCTTTCGTAATTTGTTCAACGATATTTGCGGAAAAAAATCGGGAATCGATATATCAGCCCGCGAAAATATCGGCTGAAAAATACCGATACATCGACATCAAATATCAGACCGTACTGTAACCTACTTTCGATATTTGTCTATTACTAATTCATCTAGGCCAATGGTAAGTCTAGCTTCAAGTTGCCAGTTATACCAAAACGTGAACAGCCCCAAGTTGCCACTGAAAACTTATTTTTTCGAGGTTTCCGCAGTAAAACGAATATATATAGGAAACCACATTAAAAACAAAAAGTTTAGAGAAAATCTGAGGCTATCTGTGGGCTAAAATTTCTTTTTATTCTTCATGAAGACTCAATTTAATTTAAGAAGGAAACATTCCGGTAAATGTTAAGAAAGCCGACCTCACCCCCGATTTTTTTCATTTCTTGAGGGTATTCCTCAAGGGGTCTCTAACCTACCATCGAAATTCCATTTGTCGGAAACGCACAGGAAGGGAGATATCGCCGCGTAAATTCACCGTTCTGAGCGTTCCCCAGGGCCAACTACGTGGAGGTGCTGGTGTTTGTGGCCCCAAAACATCACATTTTAGCAGATAATTCGACAACTGGATATTATATAGATGATTTTAAAGGGTTCCACACATCGATGCATGTGGAACCTTTCCACACTTCCTCCGCTGCTCTTCTGTAGCAATACATTAAATTATAATTAAATTTATGCACAATAAGGTCAGAGGAGTGTGCACTTGCATCGACCCCCTGAATTGGTTGGTGAATTTACTGTACAGGCGGGTAGTGCACAGCGACAGTCTCTATAAATGTGTCATTCCTATCAGGAATCTCGACTCCACGGCTGAACAAGTGCTCAGCCATATATCCATATATCCAAGTGTTCTTCCCAGATCCCCTAACTGGGGTGATCACCCTTATGATCTTGCCACGATCTTTTAATGTTCTGGGCACATGTCTCATTGTCGACAAAAGTGACTTTGTGATTTACCGTGACGTGGTTGTATCCCTCTTCGCACAGGCATTGATTGCTCTTCACTCTCTCATTTCTTGATGATGCCCACAAGCGTGGCAGAGGAACAGTCCGGCACCACGGTGATGATGAGAGATTTTGATCCTCTCTCCAGCGCACCGAACACCTATTTCCCATCTATTATGCGTCCTCTTTTTTTTTATTTTTGGTGGCCGACTTTGGTCTCGTCAATCTCTACGATGACACCATGTCCATCAATTCTCATGGATCGGTCTTTACACACATCTATGAGGACCTCGCGAATGAAATTAGCCCAGTCGACCACCGTCGGGTGTGACAAGTCCAGTGCCCATGCGAGAAATGCTTGACGGGGTAAGCCTGTCGTGAGATACAGCATTATGAATTAAATCACTCTGCGTATGGTTATGTGTGTGTATAAACCATGAGCCATGGTACGCACTCGCTTTGGTGGTACAGTGATTATCTTAGTGGTAGTAGTACTGGCGAGCAATCCCCCTGAGTCCGCAATTATTGAATATATTCCATATATTCGAAGTCAATTAAAATATTTTTTTGGTCTAAATTGCTCAATTCATGAGGAATTAATTTCATTGGAAAATAATGTCACTGAGAGATAGAATGCTTCTAATTTGTTTCATCCTTTTGAAGCTTGATTTTCTTTTTATTCTAAAATACTTAACTATTTGAGTCGTTTCAATATTTTTTTCCTTCCACCAATTCTTATGGTACACGAAAAAAAATACCTTATACTTCAAAGAAGTATAGTATACTTATTTAATATCTGATTATAGTATATAACTGATTTTCAATGATAATATCGGTAAAAGTTGATTCCCCCACCATTCTAATATCTATTTTGAATACGCTAAGTGGCACACAAACATTTATTGTATTTTTTTAAATATGAAAGAAATTGTCACTAATTTTCTCCTTCAAACAACAAAAGTTTTGGAATTAGTCTGACTATACAGTTCTCGTTGCTTTTGATATTTCCGGCTATTTGGAACAATATCAAGGACGTAGTGAAAGTTTAGAATCACTCAGACATTTCGAAAATTCAGTAGAGCTATCTTCCAATCGTTTTCAACTTGAAGGTATTCGAAATTGTTCAATTATTTATTGAAGGTTGAGTGTATTCACTGAAGATAAACCATGTTGTTATTTAGTATTTGCATAATAGTTATTAGAATCACAGGAAAAACGTTTTTCTATAGATATTATCATTGAAAATCACATATGACGATTAAGTATAAAATATAGTTATGACTGTTTACTGATTTAATTCTGTCAATAATTTACAGGCGTTTTTTTTTAAGATTCAGTATAATTTTATTGAGATCCATCATATTTCGAGAAAAGTTTAAGTATCTACGAAAACGGATAAAACTTATAATGGTGACCCATTTAATAATACGAATTGTATCACGTATAAATTGAACAATTATGGAGACGACTTAATTGGTAAAATTTCCCATGAGATAGAACTGAAAAAAAATGTTTCGTCGAAATAGGGAAATGGAAATATATAGTCATCTCATCATTTCAAATATCATTAAAGGGGAAACGCTATCTCAGCAATTTATCCAACAATTAGCGAGATGAACCGATACCGACCATAATTTGATTTAACCAAAAAAATAGGTGAGATATACCATTCTAGGTATGCACTGATAAATTTCGTCGCTCAAGAATGATACAAACTATACATACATAACTGCCTTACTGAAACCGAGAGGTTTATATTGTCTGAGCCATTGGGTATTCAGAGTACGTACCTTATCTTCCTATCCGGGATGCTGTCAGCAAAGTTCCTGAATAATGACAGGCCCAGCCATATCAAGCTATATTCGCGTGTTCAGTTCGGTGTGTCCTCGACTCAACGTTTCTTCTATGCCATATCTAACCAGTTAGAATATGCCTAACTATTCTGTTTCTATAGTCAAGGGTGGACATTTTCACGATAATATTATAACCATTCTCTCACATTCAGTTCCTTAAGTGTTGATGAAAATGCCAAGATATAATTCTACTAATTATTTTCAAGAAGGATCTGTCTTCATTTATAAGTGAATTATATTGTTCTTAGAGTTGCTGGGAGGAATTGCGCGTCTCATTCCTAAATGATCGGAATTAATTAAAAATTCTTCTTTGAATATGATTGCGTACGTGAATTTAAATATGAAAAGCAAAGTCCAACTTTTTTTTTTAATTGATTTTAAATCGAAGAATAAACGGCAGATAAACATCTAGCAGCGAATTCAGTTTCTGTTTTGATGAATATTTATAAATTTCCATCGTCAATTACGGACAAAGTTGCATTCAAGCTGTATAAAGTAAAAGCATGCTGTCTGGTTAAACAATTTACATTAGTTTACTAAAATGATTGAATAAAAACAATTGGTATATCGCTTTTAATTTGTGTTAATTTTCAAATTTGGTCGTGCTAATAAATTAGCCACATTCGTCCAAAGGGATATCTCCAATTAAAAGAAAAAAACTCCATTGCCATCATAATTACATAAGTATATTAAAATGTAATCCATAATTACTATTCCTCCAATTTTCGTTTCTCATTTTTCCGTAAAACTGATGAAAATGTAATGTACGTTGTAACCCCGTTATAGTGAACGGATTGATTCCTTGAAGGAATGAAATTAGTAATTTTTTATATTTGGATGTATCTACGGAATCTTCCCTTCTCCATTCCTTTAAACAGTATGTGATTTTTATAAGTCTTATAAATTTAGTTATATTCCATTTAACACGAAGTAAGGTATTACAAGCCTCACCAGTACTTGGCCTTACCCAACATTGGCGACGGCTGCACGGTTGCTATAAACCCTATAGAGATCATAATACGATTTGAAATTTGCCTTCAA